TGACAAAGACAATAAATTATCCCAGTGTGAAAAATGTGGCTGAAGATGAACATAGCTCGGACTGGATATTTCTTCTGCTGCTTGAGAGGGAAGAAGAGGCAGGAGAGGTGCAGATCATGCCTTTTCCCAGTCACTTTACAGCTGGCACCAACCCCAGAGGGCCTGTAGCCTTTGCAGAGGACAAATTTACCAAAACAACTTGGCACACAAGGGTGAGGCTGCACCTGGACTATTGTGTGCAGTTCTGGACTCCCTAGTACAATAAGGACCCCTCTTCTAGAGAGGGTCCACGGGTCAGCTACAAAGATAATTAAGGGACTGGAACATCTATTTTATGAGGAAAGACTAAGCAAACCAGGCCTCTTCAGTCTAAAGAAGAGAAGATTGAGGGAGGATCATATCAACATGTATAAATACCTAAGGGAAGGATGTAAGTAGGATTGGGCCAAACTTCTGCATGGTGTTCAGATATAGAACAAGGGGTAATGGGTACAAATTGAAACACAGGAAGATTCATCTGCCTATTAGGAAGAACATCTTTACTATTGGGATGACAGAGCCCTGGAATAGGCTGCCAGAGAGTTAGTGGAGATCTCCTTGGAGATCTTCAGAATCCACCTGGATACGACTCTGAGCCTTGTGCTCTAGGTGACCCTGCTGGAGCAAACGGGTTGGACAACATGATCTCTAGAGGTCCCTTCCAACCTTAACCGTTCTGTGAGTTTGTGATTCGGTGCAGCACCCCACAACAAGCTCCAGCTCAGCTGCAGTAGTTGGGCACTGGTTTATTTTATCAGTTCTGCAGCTTAATGATAGTAGTCCCTATTGTGAAAATTTAGTGACTCTGACATATTTACCTTTCAAAACACACTATTATTACACCATGTAATGGAGGTCTTGGTCAGCATTATTTTTTTTTGTAAACTTCTGATTAGAGTTATATATGCTAACAAGCCTGGCTTGCTTCCTTTTCTCAGGCAGAGCAGCATTCTTCTTTTACTAATGTCTTTGCCAGACCCTGTTGATATGACTTGAGTCTGGGATTCAATGTCAAAGGTTGTTTAAAAAACGCTGCTGGATATAACTATTTTATTTTTAAATGTAGTTTTGCATTTTTTGATTAAATATACAAAGCTATATTGATCTGAGAGCTCTAGCAACTCCCAAGAGACCTAAGGATTTAAGGAGCTCAGTTTTTCCTTAGTTTAAGTAACTGTCAATCTACCACATAAGACTGGAGTTATATGGATAAGATCTGTCAAAGTCTGCACTTTTTTTGCACATTTTGAAATCTTTAATTAAACTAACTGCGACAGCCAGGTGACTGGTTGCTCTGAACTAGCTTCATAGGGATTCTTGATGCTATCATGTTTTAAGGAGTACTTTGTGGAGGAAAAATGGTAAAAATGAATGTGTTCTTTATTCACCATTCCAGAGTAGATAGGAGTTTCTTCTAAGATAATCGGCAGTAAAATGATTAATAAAATAGCATTGTATTTACCTAGTGTTCTGGGCGACAAAAGTAGAAAAATCACACCTTGTTGGTTCCTAGGTACCTGCTTTTCCTCTTAGCCCTAAATGTTACGGTCATTTCCTAAATAAATGAAGCTTAAATTCTAGAGCGTCTTGTACTGCCACTAGAGAATTACTAGTGCTGTTCTGATGTCTCTCTAGATTTCCACTCCGTAGCTAGGTCTTAGCATCTGACTGTCCATGTGTGATTACCTAGTCCTTGCATTGCTGTGGTATTAATTCTGCCCCACATGGTAACTTCTCAGATACTCCAAAACAAAAGGAGTCAATATCTTGAAATGTAGTAACCTTTAAAAAGATTTGAATAATTATAAAAATATAGTGTCAAATCAAATTATTCAGTCAGAAGAAAAGACCAGACAGAAGGTTATTGCAGAAATAATGCTTAGCTTTAGATGGAATAACTTGTGCATTCCAGCATCTGCACATATGTAGTCATTGGGGAGTTACTGGAATACATGTGTTTGGTTTTTAAAACATCTGTCAACTCAGTTAAAAAATCTAAATGCAAAATGTTACGTCGGTTACATTTGTGAATTTCTTATATTTCCTGGTGGAATCTCGTTTTGTATACTAATCATTGGAGAATATGAAGATAAAAATAGGATTAAATCTGTGTGCGTGTGTTAACTTTGTACAAACGACTTGCCCCATTCTCCTTTAATTGCATTACAGTATAAGCAAGTAAGTTATGCCTATTCAAAATATGATATGGGGCTGCTTTATTTTCTCTCAGATATCACACTGCCAGTGAAGAAAGAGGCATATCATGTACAGCTGCTTTTGTCCTGGTAATGAAATACAGGCTGTGCAGAACCTTAAGCTACTGTATTGGTTTCATGACATGATCTCACTGATTTCTGCAGGCATGCTGCAAAACTCTCAGTGTCTTGTAGAAAGTAGTCTACAAACTACCTGACCAAATGCGTTGCTGCATAGCACTTAGGTGCATTGTATTGTTCACTATTACCAGGTTTCACTATTACCTGGGGTAGAAAATATTCATGGAGAACTAACTTGCAGGCTAAATAAGTGCAAGACTAGTAGTTATTTGATATGCAACATGAAGCTGTTCCTAAGATTCTGTCATAGGCAATGTTACCAATGCACACCATTGACCTGTATTTGTGATATTTGACATTTTTGATAAATACTGTCAAGGATAATCCATCACAGAACAAGTTTTTAGAGTTTCAGGAAGTTTGTTAAAGTCTTATCATTCAAATATAGAAGTGTTTCAGAAAATAATATTTTATTTTTCCAAGTTGAATAAGAAGTTGCCTAAGTAGTTAGAGAGTCTATTTTCAGAAGAATACAAGCTGCCTTCATTAACATATGTAGTATGCTGTCCGGATGAGTAAATAGATCTGCCTGTTGGCTAAGGACCATATGTTTCTGTAGGATGCATCTTTAAATCCCTACCAGTTCAAATTTGGAGTGATCACCATTTTAGTGGAAGAACAAAATGTGGAATAACCTTAGCAGTATTGATGATGTTAAAGATCTGTGTAGTTTCCAAACGGAGCACAGTTTTTAAATAATATAACCGTGCAGACCTTTCTCCTGATCTCTCAAGTGCTACATCCCACAAGACACCTATCCTTTTCTCTGATGTTATTCAGTAGCTTTGTATGAATTCCTTTGTCTGGATTTGATATGGCTAATAAGGCATTCAAAGCACTGAGGACCTCAGAAAGGCTGGAGAACTGTGAATTGACTTAAAAATCTCTGGGTAAATGCTTTTGATGACAGGAAAGCATTATAAAAGAAACTGGTCCATGGAAGTGCATTACTGCCGTCAAGCTTAAAGCAGTTCTAGCTCCTTCAGGTGTTTCATGTAGCCAAATACCAGCGTAATCCCTGTGCTCTTCTCCTTAACATTCAGTGTAAACTGAATACATAACTAGGTGTCTCTTGCATGCCCCCAGCACTCCTGCATGTGCTGTGCTACCTCAGCTGGCCTAATACCTCTGCAGATTTATACAAATACAAGAAGACAGGAAAGGCTTGTGGGACTCTGCAGCTTGACTTTGCCATCCATCTGCATGGTCCTTGGCAACCCTCTTGGGGAAAGGCTTTCATCGCTCTCATGTCATTGCCCATCACTTTATAGACAAAGGTCAACAGGGTATTCTTAGTGTTCAACAATATCGGGTAGTGCAGAGAAGTCCGACGGAGTGAGTGTGAACACCGTTCACCCGCTCATGAGTTCAGCACCAGAGCCCTAACTGCATGTTGCCACCCTGAGATACTGGATCAAAGAAACTGTGTCTGGGAATAGTTTCTTTAATTTGCTTATTTGTTGAATACTACTTTTTAGTGGTATTGCTCAAATTGAGATAGCCGATCACTTAAGAGGCAGCATCTTTGGGTTTTGGGGGACTATTGCTTGTAGGTTGAGTGAGAAATTCCTCTCGACTGAAGGCTGTTGACACACAGTGGTCCTAAATACAGCAGAGCTACTATAGTGAGAGCAAATGGAGACAAGTGTGATGTTTAAAACCATATACAGGCTGTAAGAATTATGTGAGGATCCTGCTGTTCGCAGAGCAGAGGCTTGCTACTATGCTCGAGTGCTGCTTCACAATTTGAAGCAGTTGTAGTGGTTAATGATATCAGAATGTGTTTTTGTTTTCCTCTGCTAATGGTCAGGTCTCCAACTTTCTCCTTCTTCTCTTTCTGTTTTTATGAGGGAAGTGGTACTCTTGGATGAGTAGGAGTATGAAAGAATATAAAGGAGGAGTATTGTAGTAAATTTGTAAAGCTTGCTTAGCAATGTTTTGGGAGTTTGGACAGATGCAAGGTATTTGAGCCAGCCTGCTGATGGTAATATCTATGGGCTAGCAAGATTTGTCAGCATACCTGGTAAAAGTAGTAGACTGCCAGGGCAAATTCTGGGGGATATGTCTATCTTGTGTTTCTAACATGTACACAAGTCTGCATTATAATGGTAACTGTGCACATAGTCCAGAGATTGCCTTCGAAAGGCATCATGTATGGGTTTTAAATAATAATATCTTATATTCATTTTGCAGCTTGTTTTCTCCCTTCTCTAACCGCCAGCTGACTGTTGCTCACTGTGATCCCTAATGTCAGCATCCTTCCCATCCTTGTGAATCTCTTTAATCCTAATCACCCACTTTTTGCCTGCATGTCTCCATTTTCTTCTCCAATCTCCCCGTTCTCCTCTGCTGCTTTCTCTGTTTCATTTTCCTATCCTCCTCACTCATTTGTGAACCTTTTTTTTTCTTTTCCTGCTTTGCTTTTTTCTCAATTCTAAAGAATTCTTCTTCTGTTCGATCTTCCTCTCACTTCCTCTGCTCTGTTTGCCTTGCACTGCTCCATCTTACCTGTGTAGTAGCTATGTTAAAAGGTTCAAAGGAAAAAAAAAGGCTCCTTTCTGAAAGTAATGAGTATAATGAGTGTAATGTACTCTTCTTAACCAGATATTTGTGTTCCTTTCTCAGGTCTTAAAAATTAGCTTGATTGGCCATCGGAAGCGCGTTCTGGCCTCCTTGGGAGACAGACTCCACGAAGATCCCCCTCAGAAGCCACCTCGCTCAATAACCCTCAGGGTGAGTCCCCATGGAAATCTCTTGACACTTCTTGACAAGTAAGGCTCATGTGAAAAAGAACAGCCGCTGAGAGCAGGACTCAGCTCCTCTCACTTCAGACTCTGTCGGTGAGGATATCTTCAGCTGACCTGCTCCTTCACAGCTCCCTGGGTAGTCAGTGGACTGACATTTTTACTGTTTGATTCATCTGACCCGTTAAACTAGCTCAGAAGTAGGTGTCAGCAAGCTGCCTGTCTGCATTTGTCCATAGGAATCCCAGCTCCTGTGGCTAGCATGGTGAAAGAAGAGTTCCATCTCCCTTACACCTTTTCAAGACACTTACTTTGCAGACTTTGTGCTTTGTGTGGAGAGCCTCTTGAGCTGTATCAGAAGTTGCCAGTCATTTTTATTTTTCATTAATATTCCTTTTTTCAGAGCCATTGTTATAGTTTCTCTGGGAGTTTTCCACATTTGCTCAGTTTTAATCTCCTGTCATTACCCCAACTTCCCTTAGTTTCTCTGTTCCAAAATTTGTACTCCTTGCTGTCCATTACCATGTTGTACTCTGATAACCCATTCTTACAGTGTTCTCTCCAAGGTTTATTATATCATCAACACTTCTTATTTTGCTAGTTTAGGTCAGATCTTTTGTTTTTGATTGGATTTGATTGTTTTCTTGGGGCTGTTTTTTGGACTGGAATCTCATTTGTGGCTGGACTTCCAAATCTGCCAGGTCAAGGTGCACTCACAAAAGTCGATTTCCTAGTGGAAAGAGAAATAGAGAAAGACAGAATGGGAGGCTGGTTTTTATGACGTTATTTTTACATACACTTAGGATTTCTGTGACCCACCTCTTTTCATCCTGCTTGTGCTCAAATGCCACATAATGTAGACATGTCCAAACATTTCAGACCTGCCCCTCAAAAAGCAATGTATTTGTAATGTCATGTTGAAAAAAAAGTGTCACAAGCCTGTGACATCATTCTGCAAGGGATATTGCATAAATATATGGATATTTTTTCTGTATTTTATATTTGGATGTATTAGATGAATGGTCTCCTGGTACACAGCTGGTGTTAAAATACTCTCAAGAAAGAGGAATAATTTGCCAACTTTTTGAAAGTCACACATTTTTGCTCAATGGTTTCAGTGCCACAGACAGGGGAATTAGTTCTTCTTCAGCAGGTGGGAAAGTTTCCACTGCCTACTTGCTGGTTAGCATTGTATATTCCCATCTAATAGCGAGGAGAAACCTGGATGTCCTCCATCTGTAGTCAAAATGATAAAAAGTAGTCTGCCACTCCACAGCTAGAACTACTGATGCTGGCAACCGCGAGATGTTATTCATCACTTCATACTGCTGAAGTCTTCACAGGGAATCCAAAAGGAAAGGACATGAGTTTGGATTAAGGTTTTCTTTCCCGTCCACTGCTGCAATGCCATTTTCACACAGAGCAAGGACATAGTCTTAACTCTGTAGTTTGCAATATTTTTTAGTCTGAAAATTGATTTAAATATAATAAAATATCTGCTGCTTCTAGAAGATACATCTAGTAGAAAAGACCGCTCATTGTCTGAAGATTATGCCTTTATGATGCCAAGGTCAGTCTAGGGAAGGCTAACTTTTCATTCTTTCCCACTATTATTATATTAGCTTTTAAGTTATGTCAAAGGAAAAATGGTTAAATATTGTGGAAGGCTAACAAGTAAATACCAAGTAGATCATTTCCCCAGTAACTCTGTACTTAAAGCCCCTCTATAATTTCAAGGTCACATACTCAGAAGTTAGAAAATGCTGGATCTCACGTTACCTATGAAGTCTTAACTTTCTTCCTTCTTTAATGCTAACTAACCATAAGATGATACCAAATACATGACAGCCTGCTGCACAGACATCCTTATCTGGACTGTAGATTTTTTCATGGAATGGGAAAGTGGTTATAGAATGAGGAAGAGAAGAGCAGGAAGGATGAGAGAAGGTCTCATTAACGATTAAAGGAATAACTAGAGCAAGAAAAATGCAGATTTGTATCTGCTTTTGTCACAAAGCTCTTGGATACTGCTTGACAAGTTATTTAAGTAAATGCCTCACAAACAGGCGCTAATTGTATGTTACAGACATTCTGTATATATGAGTGGAGTCTGGGCTCTGATTTATGCAAGTGCCAAGCACACAGTACCGCAAATTAGATCAGTAGAAGCTGAGTTTTGAATGCACATACTTGGAAAAAACGACAATAGATACTGTAATTGGACATCTGAAGTGATGGGTGTTTTTTAACCTTCTTGTACGTGTCTTAGTTTTCTAGCACCAAAGTGCTGATTATAAAGCCTCAGAATTCATAGGGTGTTGTGAAAATAAATTGTTTAAAGTTCACAAAGCACTGAAGTCCAAACACAAGTATCATCCAAAAAATGATATTAAACATGCTGTCCTCAGAGCAGGATTTGACGAGTCTAGGGTAAAGGTTTGGAGCCACAAAATGAGGTGAGAATAAAATACTGACTACATGATAAGTAATGATAACACAATGCTGAATATATGACAATATGCTGCATAGCTGAGGATCCATCTGTGCTGCGAATGACTTCTTTGAGAAAATAGCATACAATCATACAATTAAATACCGTACCATAATGCAGAGGCACAATAATTCTTGTGCTTCCTAACTCTGTAATTTTTGCCTCTATAACCTTACTAATAGCCTTCTAATGTGTCTTTTTGAGTGAATTTCCCCTATTATGTACTTTGAAAGAAAAAACATGAAAAACTGGATAAAAGCTGGAATCTTTATATCCATTGCAGTCATCTGTCACCTAGATACACTGTAGATGCCTGTATTGGTACTAACGGAGTGAATCATGACGCATGTAAGGAAGAAGTCCTGTTACATACCTGGCTAGCAGGAATCATTAGGAGGGAAGTCATTTGGCTCTGCTGTACTCAGGTTACCATCAGTGTGGAGGTGTGTGAGGCACATGGAAGAACTGGGGACGCAATTTGGAGATGATGTCTCACCAAACCTTCTGCATGTGTGCAGACTGCAGCTTTTCAGCAGTTTTTAACTGGGCCAAATGTAGGTGGATTTTCATGAAGGAAGGGAAAAGTGTATTCCTCAGAGGATAGCACTCCTTACTTCGCCCTGGGGAATGTCAAGTACTTGTCTCAAATCATAGGGAAGCTAGAGAACTGAAAAACAAATATCTGTGGTTTAAAATGTGATAAACTGCATATTTGTTGCTAATTTTAATCAACACAGAAAATATAAACCCACTGTTGTGTTTGCAAAGAATAATGTCATGGACATATAAATATTTTAATATCACATACTGTTATCACACAAATACATACAGAATCTTGCAACTTTTACTTCCATTAGGAAGAGATTACAACTCTCTGGTTTCTTCTACTGGTCATGTTTCTTAGTAACTTGGAGTAAAGTACCTTGATGTTTTTTTAGAAATAAGTTTAGTTCAATAAAATCATGCATGAAATACCAGCTTTAATACAGGACCCTCCCCACACCCCAGGGCAGATCTTTGCTTCCTCTTATTGTGGTGTTAATGCCTTGAGGACCCTTCCTGTTCTTCAGCATTAAAATGCAGTATTAGAGCAATAGCTTATTTAGACAAGCTCTGCTCTGCCCAAACCTGCTGGTGGGTATGTTCTCTGCTCCAAAGAATTTCAAATCAGAGAAATCTCTCATGCTAGCGAAGTTGAGCCCAGTAGTCTAGATGGTGGCAGAAGAATGTATACAACCACACAGCTGCTATGACAGTGTTTTACAGTCCGTGCAGCCTGTCTGGGCAGTGCACAGGATACTATAGCTTGGCTCCTGCAGATTGTATGGTATGAACGAAAAGGGGTATCTCCAAACATACAGTGGCTGTCTATCACTAATGTGATAGCAATGCTAGTAAAATGTACCATCAGGAGGGCATATATTTCTCCTTACATAGAATTTTTTTTTTTGCTGGTATTTGCGTGTTGTTTGATCCAAGGACATGGTTCAGCATTAATTATAAGAAAAAGCTGGTTAAGTATTAGCTCTTGGGTGCTTTCAGTTATGCTAGGATCTGATATTAGGTATGATTCTGATATCCAGTAATTCAAGTTAAAAGTATGTTCTCCCAGACCGATAAAAATTGCAAAGTGTCTATATTTTGTAGATTTTCATTCATTTCTTCTTTCCAGCAAGAAATGTTGCTGGAGTTCAAATCACTTTGAAATCACTTTGACTGCTCAAAGCTGCTGCAGAGAAGTAGTGAGGAAGTAGTGCATCTTATAAATAGCATAGTCCTAAATCATGACTTTATTTGGGCATTGACAAGAAGTAACTCACTGCTGTATCTCTCCAGTAGCCCTAGAGAGAGGAATATGTTACACAGTGAAGATTTGGGGAAATAATTTGCCTCTAGTTCGCATAAATAATAAAATATTTTTTCTTCCATGGGGTCTCTGCACATTAGATAGAACAATTTTGGGGAAAAAAAATAGTTTTCTGACTGTTGTCTATCATCTCTCTGCTCACATGCACAAGAAAAAGAGAAGTATCTCCTTGCATCAGCTTTCTCCCTGTTCACGTACAAATTATGTAGGGAGGTTACAAGAAGAAAAAAAGGGGTGACATTGCTAGGTACAGTTGTAAAAAGAAACTTGCTTTATCTATATCTATAAAGTTCACTCACAGTAACCTCCACTTCAAGAACTTGCTTTTTGTTTGTTTTAGCATGAATCATTCAAATACACTTTTAAGTCTGTATATTGAAGTCAGCAGTATGCCGTTCTTATGCTCTGTTTTCCTCCTTACTATCCAGGAACCCAGTGGTAACCACACTCCTCCTCAGTTGTCTCCATCACTTAGCCAAAGCACTTTCACTACTGGTGGCTCCCTGGACGTTCCCCACATTATCATGCAGGGCGATGCAAGGAGAAGAAGAAATGAAAACTACTTTGATGACATTCCCCGGTCAAAGCTGGAGAGGCAGATGGCACAGGTATAGTCGAAAGCTATCATTTAAAGGCTACGCAGTGCTGCAGTTTACAGATTTACTTCTAGCCACAGCCATATATTAAGCCTGAATTATATAATGCGAAGAGTAACAGCTTTTTTCCAAATATGTTTCAGTTGTGTATGTGCCACATGGAGTAAGCTGGTGTGCAGAGATACTCATGAGGGGTAGTGTCGCTGGCAGGACTGGTGACCACTGCATTTATTAATGGAGGGGGTCAGCATTCTGCTAAGCTCTGTCATCTGGGGATATGTCTGAGTGTTTTTTAGTAAAAAAGGCTTTAACTGTGCAACAACTTATTGGAAAATCACAACAGTGCTAAATTCAACTGGACATTAAATCGAACTCTTTGCAGAAGAGATTCTTAAGTCTCCCTCATCTCTAAATTTCTTCACCCAACCATAATGTAGGTACCAACTGTTTTAAATCAAGCATACATTGACCAGAATGAGGTCTTTTACCCCTCTGAAGGTCAGCAGAGTTAAGCATTGACAGCCCATCAGCAGAATTTGCCTCAGGAGGAACTCAGCTGTTTTTCGGTGGCCCATATGATGAAAGCCAGTCAGGTCTCCAACCATGTGGTGCTCCGCAGCGCACGTTGGGAACACAGCTTTGATCTGCCGTCCCAGACAGATGGGATGCAGCTCGCGGAGCAGCTCCCTCTGCCACGGAGCAGGTCGCCATGTCCTGCTGTGTGTGAGGCTTCCCAGCGGTTCTCAGTCTCGTTTTTTCATTTAGTCCTTAATGATGAAATAATAATAAAAAAAAGATAGAAAAAAATGTACTAGCTATTCTTCCTTTCTCCTTTTCACTCTTCTTGTCTGAAGTCCTGGTCTTTCCAAGTATGACACCCTGCCATATAGCCACTTGGAGAGGAACTGCTTTTCCAGCAAGACTGTGATATGTTGTATATCCAAAGAAAGAACCAAGCAGATAGTACTTCTACCACTTCCAATAATCACCAATTAAACACTGTCGTGCTTTTCTTTTTTCTTTTTTCTTTTTTTTTTCTGTGGGAATTCATACCCACTGAAGAATTTTTTCCATGCGCTTTTTCTAACTTGCTCCATGAATTACAGCAGTCAACCTACAGGACTCCAAAGGGGAAAATGGATACAGATGAATTCCATAAAACAGTGCTTTGTGTCCCTGAACTCCAATCTATTGGCAGTCTTTCTCAGCCCTTCCCCCAGATTCGGCATTGTGGTGTATGTAAAATTCCCTCTGAATTTAGTGGAAAGTCAATGACTCCCTCTGGTGATCATTCTCACTAAATTGGACTCACCCCATTAAGAGGCTAATCAGGGATTTCTTCAACCATTCTGGCCCAAAAATAGATTTTAACTTTATTTTTCACAGTATGTGAAATTTTAGTTTTGCAAGGATGAACCGTATTTCCTCCAATCTTTCCACCAAAGGTCCCTCTGAAATTAAAGGTACACTAATTATTTCTGAAAAAAAAAGAGGCAATGATTAGTTTGATCCCAGTCATGAGCCTTACACTGCATGTTTTGTCTAGGAACTTCCTCTTTGCAGGTTCCTTTGGCTTATGCCAGTTCAACAACTTCTCAAGCTGCTACCAGTCCAAGTAGAATACTCACAAACACTGTAAACTAGAGTGACTTTTTGAGTTGCTTTGAGTATATTTTTTGTTTTAGCCATTTGTTTGCTAGGTTATTTGCACACTGCTGAATGGACTTGCATGTTTAACTATATTTACAGGCCTTTGTAGATAGATGTATGTAATGACAGAATTTTTCATGTGATCTTGAAAGGGTTTTAGGTTTATTCTTCATAATGAGATTAATAGTTTTTTGTGTTTTTTTTTATTATTATTATTTCTGGCTTTGAATAGAGAGACCAAGAGAGGAATTATAGCTTATTAATTGCATTGCTTTCCTGAACTTGATTTCATTTCAGAAAATTTTGGATAACACTATTCTCAGTGTCAACTTCAATTTTAAAACCCAAAGAGGATATTTTGAGGAAGTGATGAGATCTAATGTTTCCATTTTTAGTATGGCATATGTTTTCGCAGAACTTTTAAATGGAAATCATCAAGCGTGTTGATATTTGCATCACATATCAACCAGTTTGTTCAAATGATGCCACATGAGCACATCAGGTTAAATCGGCTTTCCTTATGTCAACTAAAATATGTTCAAGAAATTGTCTGTATTTTAATCAAATGTGTTTGTAAGCAAGAGAACACCTTGCTGCCTTGAGGAAACACTGAGTTAAGTTTATTTGGTGCAGGTAGTATTGTCTCAAGGCCTTTGTTCACAACTGTTTAGTGAACTGTTTGGACCCTAAGAGATAAAATACTAAGATAAACAAGTCAAACTAATTTAGGTTTCCCACTGGAGTAGGTTTTCTTCGTCCAGCTCACTAGCTCACATCAAAACTCTTAATTTTGAAAGTCTTTGCCTTCTACTTGTATAAAGCATAACTGCCATAAAAGCAATACAGAAGATTGTGAGATCTTTATTTAAAAAAAAAAAAAGAAAAGAGAGAGAGAAATAGTTTTTAAGAGATTGCTCATAAGATTGCCCAAACCTTTAAATTAGAATCAAAATTTTGCAGACAAAGCCTAAGGGCTTTGGAATGTGTGTGGAACCAAAATACATGAAAAGAGTCTTGCCGAAGTCAGTGGGCTCTTGATTCATGTCTGCAAAACACTGGAAAAATATAATATTTGGAGCTTTGGAGCTTAAAAGTAAAACTTGGGAGGTTAAGTTCATTAAAATATGCTGATCAAAATGTCAACTCTTCAGGAGTCTAAATTCTCCAGGCACCAAGAAAACTTTAGTTACCAGGCACAGGTATACCCAAGACTGTAAGTCCCTGAGGCTGTTGCTATTTATTGACACAGTCGGTGAAATGTTGTGCTTTGGGCCCCAGTGGTCAGTGAGGCGCCTTCCTGCGGTGCTTGGAGGTTGAAGCCCCTCCTGCCATGGGCAGATCATGGGGCCAAAGGCATCATCCCTGCTCCTGAGTGCGTGCACGCACAGTGAGCTGAGGACTGGGCAGTTCATTGCAGGACCAGAGCAGGGGCGATCCCAGGAGAGTGTTGGGTACCTGCGTGATGCTGATGGATGCTCTTGCTCCAGGGCTGAATGTATGGGACACTCCTTGGGAGTTTGGGAATCTCTTGTGTCGGGGAGAGTAAATAATGAGCCAGATTCAGGTTTCTGGTAGGACCATCCCAAACTTGGTCCATACAGTGTTTTCTGTGGGATGTGATGGGAGGAAGAGAATCATTTAAGATTTTAGGAAGTTGGAAAAATAATTCGCAAAACCCTAGCTGGAGAAATTCTTTCTCACAGATGCTGAAGCCAGCTCAAACTTGATTTTGAAGGCTCTTTTGGATTTCTTCTCTATCTGATTTGTTTTCTTATCTAAAGCGAGATAATTAAAATGTATGATCACCATAACATCTGGGTAGTATGAAGTCAAGTTATCCCAGTTATAAGGTACTGTTTTGTAACATTGTTTTGTGTGATATAATAGTTAATTGAAGGATTAGGATTCATATGTACGAGTCTGCAATAAAGGAAAAGTGTAGTAAAAGCAACTGACAGACTTAAACAGGTTTATATGATTTTTTAAAATATTTTTTTTCCACTTTTTGATTTAGTATCTTCAGCTCTCTAACATCTATCAAATCCTTTACAGACATTAATGCCTTCATATTTTCCCATGGATCTGCAGGGCTAGATAGCTTAAAAACATATTTTTCATTTTACAACTAGAAAAAATGAGGTACAGGAATGCTGCTAGTTGGCTAAGATGGCACAGGAAGTTTGCAGCAAGCCAAAAGTAGAAGGGATGTCTTACAAGAAATGTGTTTAGGTTTTTAAATTTTAACCACAGTATGGTATTTCTATTTGCCTGTTTCTTGTATATTTTTCTTTCTCCTTCTCTACTTTGAAGGGATTAAGTATTGTAGTGAAAGAAGAAAAATGTCTGGGAAAAGATTGGTGTATTAGATAAGCCTGCATAAGAAGCAATGAAGAATATTTTATTTTGTGAATGGTTGAAATTGCACATGAAATAACAGAATTCTTTAATATTACAGTGGATATAGGAAACTAGAATATGGTTATCTCGGTTATTTCATTCTGTTCTTGTTTCTAAGGTTTTCTTACTTCTGATTTTTTGATATGAAAAAAAAATAGTGTACAGTTGATGATGAAAAGAGTCATTTTTAAGAAAACTATGTAAAATCCAAGGTTTATATTTGAAATTGCATTTTATTTTTAAATATAGAAAGATGACTGAACCTTAAAGACCTTCAATTTAATATCAAAAGAAAAATGGTTAACTGAATCTATTTTTATTTTACTTGTTTGACATAGATGTTACTGACAGTAGCATCAGTTGTCTCTTCAGCTCAGATAAATATTAATATCATATATTGCTATCTTTAACCCTAAATTCATTTCAACAGATTTACATCATTAAAACTCTCAGTATTGCGTTTTTAATGTGGCCAAGTAAACTGATAAAGATATTGTGAAAAATGTGAGTAATTTCTATCCAAATAAAATGATACTTTTTTTTCCAAAACTATTAGAGAGTTTTAGAAATAAAACTGTGCGATGTGGATCATACCTGCATGCTGCTTCAGCATATGGAATTAAGGAAGTCATTTCTATATTTGGTACTAATGATCCAAATTATTGCCATAAATACTACACCAAGATGGGGACAGATGTTCCTTCAAGTTGGGGACAGATGTTCTTTATTAATGTACTGTTTTTAACATTCAGCTTGTGAACTAGAAGCTCAACATTAGGATTATATGAAAAATGGAGATGGTGAGGTAGTTTCTTCTACTCTCTTCTAATAGAAGAAGCTCTGTTCTAATGGAAAACTGAATATTTCAGTGTCGAAGCAGAATTTGGTATCTAATGTCTATATTTTTGAGCTCCTGGAAAAGATCATGCACTGAGAGTTTGTGGGTTCAAAAGATTTCCCTCCCT